TGCAACCCCTGTTTGCAAGCCCAGCTGTCACTGTCGAGGAAAGTCACCAAGACAATCAAGTAGATAAAGTCCTTTGCAAGCGAAACTGAAACCCAACTTACAGCCTAGTGAGACAGTCTTCGGTTGTGTTCTGGTTTTCCTGGGCAAGTGTCCACAGGGCAGCCCAGCAAAACAAGTCTGCGCATTGCCAGATCAATTTCTGTGGACATCTTCATCAGGGCTACAGCTAAGTAAGGTTGCGGCAAAGCTGGGCAAGAAAAATTGCTGCGGACGGTTCTCTGGACTGGTTCCCAGAATCACACATTCCAACAGAATTGCTTTGCATCAGTCATCCCCAAAACAAGAAGGCTCCACCCTCGAGTCCACCCCGCTTGGCAAGGAAGCAGAGACCTCGCCGACGCTTGCCAGCCATTGGAGGCAAGCCTGCCATGTCGATTGAGGCGGCTTAGGAAAGCCACGTGGGAGGGAAGGTGAAACGTTCTTTCCAGTTTGCGTAGGTCGTGGATAGGCTACCCCGGCTACACAAATACCAATGGGAGAGAGAGGATCCAGTTGAATACAACAGACCCTGTGCCACAATCTTTGCTCACTTTGTTTCACTTCCCATCAGCCTGAGCAGTAGGTTGTCCCACTGAACATATCGTGTAGGCTCCTATACTTCGTATGAAAGGTTCCACAAGCCTTCAAATAATCAAGCTCTTGCCTTTGCTACTAAAGACTAAAGACTTGTTGGAAAAGAGGCTACCTGGAACCGCTCAAAACTGGACACCCAGTTCTCACCTCAAAGCCCTTTTGGCCTTGAACATCAGAGCTAGCTTCCACTACAAGCACCGGCACAAGTTCACTTTAATAGCAAGACATCTAAGCAAGCGCTTGTAACCCCTGCAGCTCTTCAGATCATGGCCGAATACCCACGCTCTGACGGTCACTTCAAAGCTGATCCTGGCATTGGACACGAAGAATTTCAAAGTCAAACTTTAGGAACTCTTGCACATGTTCAAGCCCAGGCGGAACATTTGCACACCCTTGCGACCTCGCTATCCTGTACTGTACTGTATGCCTGGCACACGTCAAACATTCCAAGAGGGGCCTAGTGGCTTCATAGCTGTTACGCATGTATAAGACCCCATGGATAGAAACACAATGAAGTTACGTGGCCTCCCTTGTCATGTCCAATCAAGACTAGACTCGAACATTGTCCAGCTGCAGGAACTCGTCAACCTGGTCCTTCGAGATCGTACGCGCTTCCTCACTAGTGGTAATGCCCTTCATCTCTGCAGAGCACCGCTTGAAGAAGCTGTCCTCTACAGAGAATAGGGAAGTGGTCAAGTGTCATTGGCTGCCAAAAGTTGTTTCTTAAAACGTTGTGCACTTATCCACAAATGGTCCTGGAACTTAGTTTGCCCCTTCAACTTTGGCGCCACGAACTCCATGAACACATCCCGGATGGCAGTGAACTTGATGGCGCTTACCTCACCCTGAGGCATGTAGCGGGCAGCAAAGGTAGTCAAAGGCGCTCCTGGCTGTCGGGGTTCCCGGCTCTTGCGGGGCTTCTTCTTTGCGCCCGCCTCCAGCGCCTCAACCTCCTTTGAGGTGTCCAGCTTCTCACCATCATCACCTTCAGGCTTCTTCTCCACAGCATTGCCTTCCTCAAGGGGTTGGCTATCCTCTGGCTGTGGCTTCTCCAAGTCATGTGAATCTGAGTGCTTGTTGGCCTCATTCGACTTGCCAGCTTTTCTTTTGCGAGCAGTATCTTGCTTGCAAAACAGTTTGGGCTCTGACTTGGCTTTGGGCTTGCTTCTGCCCTTGGCCTTGGCCTTCGCCTTGGCCTTCGCCTTCGCCTTGGCCGCAGAAGGCTTCTTCCTTGGCTCAGAACCTTCAGCCAAGTCTCCTTCTCCAGCGGCATCAGCTTGGAAGTCAGCGTCTTGGTCTTCATTGGCGTCCAAGGAGCGGTCATCAGAGCCAAGCTGTTCACGTCGAGTTACCACAGGAGCCTCGAGGGGAAGCCATGGAAGTTGAATAGTTGAAGCGCTTAAATTCAATCTAAGCCTTTCAACTAAACTTGTTTTGACAAACGCTGATAAAGGCCTGAACATTTGCGAGGTCCATGCCATTCTCCACCAATGAAGCCAAAGATGGCGTTTCAGCCTCGCCCTTCTCACATGCCGTACCCACAGCACATTCCACAGCCTGATGAGCAGGTTCCTCTTCCTTCTTGTCATCTGAAGACACCATAGGTTGGTCAACTTCTTCAGCACATCCGGCTGTGCCCATCACACTATCCTGAAAGATCTCCTTGTCACCCTTCAGGTGTTCTGGGGTTTGGGTCCATGGGACCTGGCTGTCTTCCAAGTCCTCGGTGGTTCCTGTCTTCGCATCAGAGGCAAACTGGTCTCCTGCAGGCGCAGCAACCTCACCACTGGGCAAAGCAGGTTGCTCAGATGTGTCGCCTTCCAGCGCTTCCAGGTTTGTAACCACGTAGGATTCAGAAGGTGTGTAGAAGGAGGGAACAACCGTGGGGCTCAACTCATCATCCTCATTGCCCTTCTCATCATCAGAAATGACGAAAGTGTCACCGTGCGAAACAAATCCTTTTGCAGGCGCTGAAAGGCTAGAGTCGTCAAACTGGTAAGGCAGTGTCTCCATTGTGTCAGGCAAAGAACCTCAAGTACATGGTGACCAACCAACAAAGGTCAAAAGGCCTTATAGGATAATACGTCCACCACGACAATCTTGGAGGAAGTATTATCCTATAAGGCCTTTTGACCTCTCTTGGAAAGGTACCCTCAAAGCATTCAAAATCTCATACTCATAAAAAGTTGGTGCTGAAATGGCCAAGATGCTGGAAGATTTCCCACGCGACAGCTTGCGGTCTTCCACTTGTTTCCTGCAGGGAAGGGAAAGGACACCATCCAACATGGATGGTCAGGGTTAACTCCATTAAACACCCAAAAACAAAGGGCAACCCTTTCTCCTGATGGCGTCCATCTTCTCCAATAGTTGTTGCCGACGATCAGTTTCTGGACACGAGGGTTCAGGATCTGGAAGAGTGGCTTCAGGTTTTGGACAAGGCTCGCAAGGCTGCTCATGTTCATTTGAAGGGTAGGCAGCCTCCAAAGAAGTCTCCCACTCTGCTTCATCCTCAGGCACAACCTCGAGGTAGTTTTCGACATCCCCATCCTCAATCATGAGCATACGATCATTCTCTCGCGGCTCTTCCTCCTCAGGTTCACTGGTCCAGGCATCGTCAAGGATGGTCCAAAAGGTTGCGAAAGCGTCATCCTTGGCATAGACCAGGCTTGTTAAAAAAGAGAAACCGGTTGAACAATAACAGGAAACTATTTCCAAGGTGGGGGGTCCGCGTTTGACAAAACAGAAGGGATCGCGAGGTCTTTTTGCTCTAAGGTTTTTCATGACTCCTTGTTGATGAGAGACTGCAGCTGGATGAGCACTCCCCACCCTCCAACCTACCAAAAAAATTGGCAAATTGCCATGAAAAATGATACACGACGGCGCAGGCCGAGCACCCTTGGCCGCTCCGCGCCTGAACTCCAGCGACGAAGGCCATGGGAGAACAGCCGCTTCAACCCCCAGGAGTCCAAATCCACAGTGCCAAGATTAGGCTCCAAACCCATCGTCTTGCGAAGCTCTTCCACCTAGCCAAGTTGCAAGGGCTACACTTAGAAGAATTAGGGTCCATCAAAAGTAGAAAGTCTTGAGGGTACTGCGTGCAATTTAACATACAACAATATCACAGTAAAGTTCCGGGCCTCCTTTCTGATCCGGTCGATGGGGATCACACATGGAACCGGCGACATTTGCACCCACCACCGTGCGACATGCTCCAGGCACACAACATTGTGCTTCATGGCCTTCACTGAAGGCAAGCCCACTTTGTTGTCGGATGGCCAGCGTGTTATCTTGCCATTCTCTCTGACCCTGTTCCTTACCACACGCTCGGCTTCTAGAGTCGAAGCTAGGGATGCCATGGGTCTTTCAAAAAGAGCCAGCACTAAGACACTGAGAGAACCTCGGACCAAAAAGCTATCAATCACCCCGAATGACCAAGACCAAGCAATGAGTAGTCCACTAGAGCACTCAAGCGGAGGCATTTGCAAGCCTCCTCTCGCGATCGTGCACTTCCATCAGAAGCCACGGGCCTGGCCATCAAGGTGTGCATCAAACGAAAGCACTTTCTCAGGATACCACATTTTCCACAGTCCATAACAATTGGTTGCATAAGTGGTAGTCATTATTAGAACATAGAATGACCAGCCAACAAGAATGAACTCACAGTGAAGATCAGTGGAGCTTGCCTCATTCATCAGCATCCCTTTCCAAAACAGCCCATGAGTGTACCTGCCAAGGTTGAGATGCAGTTGCCAAAATGCTGTGGCTGGAAAATGACCGATTGGGGCACAGCTCGTGCAGATCCGGGTGGCCAGGTCTCTGTCGAGCCAAGAAAGATCAGCAAGTGTCACCATGCTTTATGATGGGATTGGAAAACATGAAAAGTTGAGTTTCATATAATTTTTGTCGTTTCATCGAAGAACCATGTTCTTCACCAAACTGCAGCAATTCTGCAGACTCTGGAGGACGCAGGTATATCTTTTGCATTCACATCTCCATTGTATATAGGGGATGTGAAAAATAAAATAACATATCATCATCAATCAACATGATGTGCTTCAGATCTGGTTGCAGATCTGTTGAGACTCACTGGTGAGTGTTCCAGAACATCTTCAAACTGATCCCCACCTGTGACAACCCAAAACCAAGGCCTCTCCCAGTACTTTAAAAGTTGCTGAAAGTCCATAAACCTACCAGGACCCTCCTGTCGGGGTGTCTATTTATAGCCCCTTAGCCGTGATTCGGGGCGTCCATTAACCACTCCTTCAGGGTCCTGGTAGTCCATTTTGGTGTCTTGGGACTGACCCGGAACGACCCTCGAGTGGAGGGACAGTGGCGGCCGACAAAAAGTTCAGGTGTGGTTTCGGCACCTTCTTGCTGAAGGCCAGTTCTTCCAAACTGGCTGTATAGAGCTCGAAGTGGAACTCTTCCTGATTTTGTCGACATCCATGACGTGTCGGTGGTCTGGAATTCCATTGGGCTGGGCCATGGGAACAGTGGTACAGTGAGTGACCACTGACCTTAGAGTGATGTGTACCCTAAATATCGTGCAATCGATCCCAAACAAGACTAATGGGACTGCCATATATGCCGCCCCATTGACCCCCCTGGCACCACCCAAATTGATCGGCAGTCCTCAGGCAGTCCCAGTAGTCGTGTCTGGGTCTGGTAATCCTTTACACGGATGTCTCTGCTTTCGTCTGCGTCCTTTCCTTCCTTTTGGTGTCGGTGTTCATCAATGGAGCCTTTCCCATTTTCAGCACTTCCAGTGGAATTGATCAGACCCGGGGCCCAACAAACCATCAAAGACCTGGTTTTCCGGAGCAACAAATAGTGTTCTTTTTGTGAAAACCTCTATGTTTCATGGGTTTGAGGTTTGAGGGCACCTGGTAGTGGATGGTGAGTATATTTCAGGATGCCCAACGTCGGTCGTTTATGTGAACCCCCATCTAAAGACGTCTTGGGCTGCCTGTGCCATGAAACCACTGTATACAAGTACCGGACTCAGAAAAGGTCTCCGAAATGGTGGCTGAAACGCAAACATCCAAGTGGCACGTGTTCAGCTGGTAGTGAGGTGCTGGTGTAAGCCTTTGAAGTTTCATTGCCTATATACTGATACCTTACAAAAAATAAGCGGATGGCTGCAAATCTGATTCCCCCAAAAGGGTGGGATGTGAACATGTTCAAGACGGTTCGGTTCGAACAGTGACTCCCTCGGTTTCCTGGGAAAAAGTTTAGTGGGGAAACTCATGCCCCCATAAAGGTTATCCAAGTTATCCACGTCGACGGGGTTTCGGACTGTCAAGTGCCTGGTACCTTTTTGTTCCAAGGGCGTGTGGTTACCTGTTCTTGCCCGTGCGATCAAGAATGTTGGTCTATGGACCTTGCTTGGCCATATGCTGCGAATTGGTGCGAGAAACGTGCGAAATTAAAGGAAGTATCAAGAAAACAACTATTACGGCCAAGTGATTTACTGAACAACACGACACACACACACACACATGGTAGTATTTGCATGCATTTCATGATATATCATGGAATGGACGGACGCAAACAAGTCCCTACATTCGAAGAACCGATCCCCGATACCCGATGTCCTCCTGATCACGGATCTTGCGAATCAAGCCTCAGAATCACGTCCAAACACATTCGTACGTAATTTGCTAGGGATACGAAACAGTCGTACCTTCGAAGGGGCAGTGCCGACTAGAGGGATCTCAACAGACTGCAGCTCCAAATAGATAGCAGAATGAGTGGGAGTCTTTACAGAAAAAGGGCGCTTGTGACGGCCTCTCTGTAGTGGACAAATCGATAGTGAATTCCAAGACATGCAATGCTTTCTTCAAGGGCATTCCCTTTTCATTCCCCATCTACACATAATAAGGTCAATATACGGGACAACTTTCACACCATATCAACGTGATATTATATATGTGTCTACCATGGGGTGCTTGCGTCTACGCTTTTCTACTTTAAAAATTCATATTTCCGAATTGTGATTTGTCCGGCTCTGTTCTTTGAGGGATGGATGGGCAAAACGAGACCAGCCGGAGACAAGTACCTCACACGGTTGGTGCGCAGCATCTGCTAATGAACGAGGAAAGCGGCATGCAGTATGTCTTTAGTGCTCTGGATGTGTCTGGATGTACACACCCATCCAAGCTGTTTTGGACTCTAGACATGATGCTTCGGAACGTCGATCACAGTTGGTCAACAAAGCGAGTCTCTATTTATCCTTGCGCAGATTCGCTGTCTGCATAGAACATTTAACGCATCAAAAGGTATCAAAGCCACGCCACAGCAGCCGAGGCATCGTTCAGGATCTTTCAGGTGGTTTTCCAAATCGACTCATCCTCCCAACAAACAGCAAAAACGTTGTAACAAAATTCATTTTAGTATATCTTTGCCGCTCTATGATGCAATGTGGCGGGAAAAAAAAACAAGAAACACAGAACAAACAACTTCTGGAGGGTGTTGGCCGCCATGTGTCTTGCTCATTCCTCACTTTCTCCCAGCTTCCGAATCGTCCCGCAAAGCCAAGAGGCGAACGAACTCGCGGAAGTCCAAGCGTTCGTTCTGATTCACCTGGGGTGTTCAAGCCGTGTCATGTCTTGTGGCTTCATTATTTTTTGGGCAGGTTCCTACATGTTTTGTAGGTACATATTGCTATACTACTGCAGTCTCTGCAATTTTGGGTCATAGCAGTGGAGCGAAGAAAGCCAGGGCCACCCATCATGTGGAGCGATTCAGTGTAATTCTGTTGTCAGCAGGAAGCAGTTATCCATGATAGTCCCACTCCTATAGCCACTCCTAGACTCCGTCCTGGGAGTCCTTCCCAGGGGCTACGACCCAAATTCACCAACATCATCAAACCCACACAACCCCTTCCACTGAGTTCACCTCCATACTCCACTCGCATGTACTACACCGAGTACTACACCGAGTACGACACCGCCACACGTGCATCGAGTGTCGCTTCACCCGCCGAGCCACGTCTGCGAAGTGTAGCAACTCACGGAAGAAGGGCCGGAACTCCCGCAGGTGGGCGTGCCTTGGTGCTTCGAAGACCGTGTGCCTCGGTTTCGGCCCCAAGAAGAAATACCCGGCTACACTGGAAGACAAAGCTCCATCAAAAAAAAACACAGAGTGCCCACACATCCCCCACGCCTCTTCAAAAGACCTCCTATCTCTCCATCCCGCAGGGGGTCCTGTTCCACTCTCTCCGTGCATGCTCCGCCGCCTCGGAAAGAGCGCCTCAAGCAGGTCGACCAGTTCATGCTCCTTCCTGAGACCAGTTCAACTCGATCAATCCACCGGCCGACAAAAGGAACCACCGGGCCGGCGCCGGCGCCACCCGAGCGGGTGACCGGAGGCAGATTGGCATTCAATGCTGTAATTAGCGAACATGGCTCCGTTCGTACGGCCAGGAGCCCGAACGTAGTGTCCGATCGCTCCGTTCGTAGCGATGCCAGGAGTCCCTATAGGAGCTTCTTGCTCCTAGTAGTAAGGCCAGGAGCCTATATTTGAAGGAAACACCTCTTAAGGTGCAAAAAGAAGAATCCTGCCGCCATTTCATCTCTCTTCTTTTCCCACTCACTGGGAGCTTGAAGAAGACGCATGGGAGAAGTCAGCAACACAGAAACTCAGATGTCATGTGTCGACCTTAAAGCGCTTGTTTGAGAAACATGGAGTGCACCATTGCCATCTACCGAGGCAAGTCACCATTTTGACATATTTTGACCCAACAACAACATGTTTGTTTTTGCCCGGCAAAGGCACAACATGATGCATACCATCTGGGCATGCGGCATGGATCGGCATGGCCTACAACATTTACACACCAAAACATGATTATATTCCATCATATGGTCCGTCATAAAAAATAAAATAAAACACAACAACAACCAACAACCAACAGCAACAGCAACAACAACACCAAATATACACACACTACTACACACACAACGAGATCAATGAGGTCCCTCAACCGGAAGCACCGGACCCGCGGTTTCTCAAAACGCTCGATCCATGCGTCAGCTCTCCGCTGGCGTCTTTATCGAATCGCTGGAAGTGTCGTCGCAGCTCAGCAAGCTCGTGGGCTTCAAAGAAGTCCTCCGTGAGTTCCGTCGACCGCGACGGAGTCGAGTTCCGCGTAGATCGACGTCCGGCGTTCGGACATCTAAGGGCGCCTTTCTAGCCACCGGACAATCCTGACGACCCTATAAGATACCTGGTGGTACTGGGACATACTGGGACCTATAGGGTCTGTACAGTTTTATTTTTTTGGGGGAGGGTTGACCCTTTCTCAGCCAGATCACGTAGATCAATTTGAGAGGTTGAGGTTCAAATTCAGGCCAACAAAAGCAGCTTCAAGGGTTGACTGCTGGGTTGACCCCCGAGAAGGTCAACCCAAATCCAGGGTTGACCGGGCTGGAATAGGTCAACCCCGACAGTGGCTAAAACAAGTGGCTCCAGCCCTAGGTTTTCTTGGGTGGATCATTTTAAGGGACCCCCTTGTTAGGTAGCTCAGAGGCTGGCACCTGGATCAAGTCTTGGGTCAAACGCCATGGATTTTATCCAGTACGGCCCCCTATCTATAAGATCTTTGAACCAGAAGCACCATGTCTCAAAAGATCGCTGGACCTCCTTTGGGATCGATCCACATGCAGTGTCTCCTTCGCTGGGTCGGTCGGTCGACCGCACCTGGTCGCGCAGGGCTCGGAGTCTCGTGGGATCTGACTTGAAGCGCCTGTGACACACGTCGGATCGGACGGTGGCCAGTTGGTGGGGTGGCCCAACAGGTGTTGGCCCTGATAAGTGGCCATTGAAAGATGTTAAGACCCAATGCCAAAAAGCAGTTTGTTGAATTTTCCACTCGCTTGGTGTAAACCCGGTGAAGCAGGAGTCCCATGATATACTATTCAAATATGAAGTATAGTATAATGGGGGTGGACAGTGAAAAGGCCTGTTTGAAGTGTATATTTATACTTGTCAGGTAATTTCTCTGGGATTTCAAACCATTGCAATGATAGTCTTTACCAAACAACCTTTGTTTTACTAATGATTTTAGTTTACAAAACCAGGTCAACCATCTTTTGAATGGTCTTGGAAGGCTAGGAACTTTGTAGTGTTTGCCAAAGGAAGATTGTGAACTTTGTTGTTTTGCATTGACATTTTGCATGGCAGCACCTCCTCCACCATGCGCGTTGCGCTGAACATCAATGGGCCATGAACCCTTGCACATCTCGTGACATCTCCTTTTTTGAAAAATCCATATCTGCTTTAATTCCCCTTTTGTTTTGCACCTTTGCTTTCCCTTTCGTCCATGAATTTCCCAGCGCGTCCTTTCATGCCCGCGCTGGAAGCAAACGGAGTCCGAAGCTTCATCCACGCCCGGGCAAGCGGAAACACAAACAGGAACTTGTTGGGCGATTCATGCAAGAAATCGTTCATGTTTGATTCGCAAGCAAAAACAAATCATGTCCAATGTCCACTTTCGTTCAGAGTCTTGCTATGTTTCTTCTCTGTCACTTGTAAGGATCGGTGTTTTTTGATTTGGGATGGATTGCTGGTGATTTGCAATAGCATTTCGGAAGCATCTTCTACACTAAAGGCAAAAAAACATGAAAAACAAAAAAACATGTTGTTCACTGCTTCTGGGCTGTAATGCTGTAACTGAAAAAGGAGCTCCCATAACTGACAAGGAAGATCCATCGAAACTGCATGGTGGCCTGATGTAAATTGAAAAAACAACACGTTGCGCAACACCATGTTTACTGTCCATCCACAAATCACAGACTTGTCGATGGCATTCTCAGGGGTAGAATCGATCAATATAGCGATCTGAATTTGCGACCGAATCGATTCATCGACCGAATCGATCCGAATCGACCACTCCCTGATTTCCTTCCTCATTCCTTCCTCATCCGCAGCCAGGTGGCTGAACGATCTTCAGGAACCTCGGGACAGCGTCTTGGTCGGCCGGAACCGAACCTCCGAAGCTTCACCCGGAAGTGGTGAACGTTCCGGGTCCTTCTGACCCGCCCCAAGCCAGTTGAGGGCCCACACGTTCTGACCTGCATTGCGAGTTGGGCACCCAGCAGTTCCTCTTCATTTCAAGGTCTCCCTTGTCTGGTGACGACCCATGGAGACGACCCAGCTCGTGGTGGGGTCGTGGTAGGTCGTGGTGGTACTGATGAGACGACCGACCCATGTGGTGAACCTGCGTGCACCAGGAAGGAAACCTTGGAGGAAAGTTGCAAGCCATCATCCACAAGCGCGGTCTGAAGTCCTCTCTACGTACCAAACAGATCGGACGGAAGTTGCAAAGTACATGTGTAACGCACAGGAACCAGGATATACATGACATAAGAATGGACTTGTAGCAATTGCCTTTGTGAGTCTGGGTTTCTGGTCTCAGGGCGATTGGACTGCCAATGACAATTATATGTTTGCTTTGGTCTTCCACCTTGACCAAATAAGTGCAATAGTGTGCATAACCACTGGGGAGCAGTAGGATTCTTGTCGGTGAAGATCGACATCAACAACAACATCAACAACAACAACAACAACAGCAACAGCAGCAACAACAGCAACAGCAACACATGGCTTACACTGGGTGGGGTACCTCAACACTCCACCTTTCCCCAGCCATGGGGAGGCCCCCACTCGCCCCGGTCAAAGAGAGATTCTTCGGATGTTCATCCAGAAAAGCTTCGTCGAACAAAGCTTCGTCGAACCCAGGATTCATCCAGGAATCGTCCTGAAAAGCCATGAAAAGCCAGCAACCTCAACCACATTAGCAACCAGCTCTTCCTTTGAAATATGGTGAAATCCAAACAAATAACCATAACATTGATATCAAAACCATCAACATCCATGCACCATCCACACCCGCCACGCTCACATCAATGCCCGAACCCAAAATCTGGCGACGTGTCGCTGTTGCAGGCGCAAGCCCTCGGGCCGCAGCTCCGGGCGAAAGACATCTTCATCAAAACCCAATCCTTAGATGGCTGCGGTCAAAACTGGGATAGAGCCTTAGATGGCCTTTAAACTAGGATTGCTCTGCGGTCAATCCTTAGATGGCCTCGGTAGTGACACCCCCTGTTGTTTTTTTTCCCACCAAGAATGAACCGCATAGACTACCGAGGTCCACCGACACCCGTACGGGCTCAGAAGGATTGGCTCGTCGGGTGCTCACCCGAGAAGGATTGGCTCGTTGGGTGTCAAGCCTTCACATCTCTCTCCCTTCAAAATGGGTGTCAACCAAGCATAACAATCCAGGAGTCACAAGACGAGGTGCCGATCCTATTGGAGGTTAGGGACAGGGGTGCCCCTGTCACATCCACTCACTGGATGGGCCTAGGGACCAAACACCACCCCCACAATGTGACTCCTGGAAAGCAGGTGTTTTCAACCTCACTGGGCCCTTCCACCCAGTACGAGGGCGTTTCGAAAGAACTCCAATGCGCACCTCCCGTTGACCACGCGAGGTGTAAAGAGCGACCTTTTGTCGCACCGGACGGACGTGAAGCACAGGTCCCGCACCTGACGTACGTCGTACGTGGTTTTGGTGGTGCACACACGGCATCGGCTTGGTTCAGCTGGGTGGTGCCGACGAGGAGAGGACCGACCAAGTGGACTTGACCTGTCTTCCTCTTCCGCCACCATGGCAATCCTCAATGACCCACATCTCCAATGAGCCACATCGCTCCCGCCACAAGTGGATACTGCGCCCCAAGTGGCTCTGAAAGGCATCGAACTGATGATCTTCATCCAGAAATCCCAAGTCCAAGGAATCAAACCTTGGAAGATGCCGGGTGGCCGCGGCCGGGTGGCCGTGGCCGGGTGGCCGTGGCCCTGGCCGCCCTATATCAGAACTCGGGCGTTGCTAAGGTTCCATGTCACCATGCACAGTGGGATGTCAATTGTTGCAGGTCATTGTCTTCATCGACAGGTCGCAAACTTAATAGAAATAGGAGAAGAAGAAGAAGCACTAATTGCAATACTACGTGTCATGGTAGTCTTTATCATCCGTGTGATTCTCGGAAGTGACATGTGTTCATCTACTCGTCCTTTCCCGGAGGCCCGCTCCCACGTCTTCGATGTCTCAAAAAAAGGCCTGACTCCCGAGCCATTTCGCTGGAAAATCAAGGCGAACCCTTTTTCATGAGGAAATCAATCTCCACCTCCCAAAGAACAGGGGTTTTGCAGGTGATTCCCTTTTCCGGAGGGCGTCGCCGCCCGATGCCGGCCCCGCCCGCCGATGCCGGCACGACGCTCGAAAAAGGCCTCCGTGGCCTTCTGCCGATCCTGGTCGCGACACTTTCCTCGAAGCGGACGGAACGGGAATGACGCGGACGGAACGCGTGTGATCTTCATCCGATGGTGGTGTACATGGACCCCCCATCTAAAGGACATCTTCGGGTTTGTGCCATATACTCTGAACACGCTGTACTGCTGCCGCTGCGTGATGGTGTGATCTTGGTCTGCTAATGTCTCCACCAACTAAGATGATGCACGCCCAGGCGGAATCTTTGGAGTGATGAGGTCAACATATATGAGTGTTGTTGTGCGAATGTTCCTATCAAAAGTATATGAATCATATATGGAGTATCTCCGCACTTACTTGTTGCCTTAAAGCCATCAACACTCACGTCATTTGCTGTGGTGAAGCGAATAGTTTCATGAATCTGATGACAGCAAAGTTGCCAAAATGGTGTTTCAAAGCTCTTGAGTCCAAGCCACTTGAATCAATTCCAATCACCAGGAGTCACTCCAGGAGTAGTTTGTAGTCGCATCCGGCCGTGGATGTGACGAACGGGGCACCCACTACCTGTGACTCTTCCCGACTGACTCGACAAGTCCAGACAGTCCGAGTTCCCCCAGTTCCACCTCTGAACTGTCAGAGTATAGCTTCAAAAAGGATCTTACACACTCACAAAACAGGAGAGTATATACAGGAGAAACCAATAACATAGTAAGAAGTTTAAGAAGCATATCATATACCAAATCTCTTTAGGGGTGCCCCGTGCGATCGCACGGTGCGCGCTGAAAACGCTGGCTCCCTCGTCCTTTTGAACCGCTCCGTGCGATCCCTGCGTCGGATGAGGCGGTTTTGGTGCGGCAAACGACGAGACGAGGGTCGGAGGAGCTTCACAAAGAGGGTGAAGTCCAACAAGCCATCGCCATCCAAGTCCAGCTCTTGGACCTCTGTCTGTTTGCGGAAGAATACACGAGAACTAACGGTGAGGAAGGAGAGAAGGATTCTAAACTTGGGATTGGGAATCATGTGGAACAGATTGTGTATGTTGGTAGCAATAAATGATATTGAACAAAGATGACCAGGAGTCACATGTCGGGGTAGCCCTTGTAGCCCCACTTCTTGGCACACCAAGGGGTGACCTCCTGGGAGAGACAAACAGTTTAGGTTTATTCAACGCACTGAGTTTGGGTATTGAAACATTGAGCTTTGCCGTACATGTGGCCAAACGAACATGAAGCAGGAATTTGAACAAACAAGTATAACCAATGAGGCATCTGAAGGTGTCCTAGTAGTCATCTGCTGACTTTCCGCTTGGTTCACCTGGTTCAGCTACTTCCCTTAACAAAAAAAAACAGCCAGCTCATCACATGTCCAAGTCTGGCAAACAAACCCTCTTGAACCTTGGTATCGCTTGAAGTACTTGCAGATCCTGGCAGAGCTAAGAAAGGCTCTAGTCGCCCACACCTTTTAAGGTCACCACTCCAAATTACTACATACTACGAGTACCTTCTGTAGTGGCAATGCCATGCATAAGAGGGGGGGTTGTTTCCAACAAGCAGTGTACACGAGTTGATGTAACTGCCGTATACAAAATTTGTATTCATGGCTTCTTCCGCGTAACCAGTGCCCAAACCGTCGCTTCGCTGCCGTCGCTTCGCCAGCACTCTCTTCAGTGGAAGGAACCAAATGCTGCACTCGATCGAAATGGTAGAGATGCCCCAGCCAGCGCAAGGCCTTCCTAAGATCGCGAAAAAAAGGAAGGTCTGGGGGTCGGGTTCTTCGTTCTCGCTCTCGGGCGCCTTTTTTTTTTGGAGGGAGAAGTCCCGTGCTCCCGTGGTCTTCTCTATAGGGGAAGAAGTGGAGACCACCTGAGCAACAGCTAGTGATGTACTCGGAAGCAAAGCCGTGAAGTCATGCAGCTCAACGATCATGCATCATGCGCAGGACCAAACGTTCCGCCTGCTTCTGAAGCCTCGAATCATGCGACTCACTTTATCTCTTCTGCCCTCTCAATCAGACAGTGGGACTGGCGAGGACTGGGAATCTTTTGTAGCGCTTGCAGACTTCCAAACGAATGTAAACTCTGAATGAACAACCCCCCCCATTTGGATATACTGGGATTGTAAAGAACCTCTTCTAAGAGCCGTCCTATGCAGGGGCTTCTGAAATTCAACAGCCCTTCGTTTCGCCAAGCAGATCCCTTCGCTTCGCCCCAAGGCTCTGAAGCGCGGGCGTCGCAATCTCCGCCTGGGACTTGGACCTGATGCTCCGTCGCTCAGCCGAAGACGGTCGGTGGCGTTCGGTATGATGAAGACGAAAGAAGGTTGAGTTTTGGATGTGATGTCTTTTTTGGGCTGATATCTCGTATACTTGACTAAGGCAAATAAGTGAGTTAGGTGCTCGATGAAATCTGGAAGTTGGGCAGGCTTTCGAGGCAAACAAACATCGCCGATCCTGTGGCCCATCGACATGAAACTCCGTCTTCGTGTCGGCTGGAGCAACAGCAGATTGGGTCAATGGCTTTGCGGCACTCACCCGCACAAGGTCCCCAGGAAAGAAAGCAACATATTGCAGGGGGTTACCATAATGGACAACCCTACACTGCTTATAGGTCACCATTGGACACCCATTGGAAGCGCCAGGTATCAGCAAAAAAATATTATGTTTGATTATACTGTATGCGTATTATCTCAGGTGTAGTGCCTGACATACCTGTGTAGTGCCAGACGCAGAAGCTATAGCAGTGCTTGTTCTGACATACCGGTAAGAGCTTGGTCATTTCCCAAACCCTTCACGTCGCATGGCAGCTTCTCCATCCCTTCACCAATGGCGCCGGCAGCTGACGACGAAAACCCTCGGCCGAACGATCGTCCGACGGATTCCGACGGAGCCCAAGGCGGCCGCCCAGGCACTGCAAGGCGAAGGCCACCTTCATTTCCTCCATTTCCTCGTCGGTGAAGCTGTCCCGCTCCCGGATGCTACACGTCCTGAATCGACCCCAAACAAAGACTGCGGTTCCGGGATGCGAGGGCGAATGATACGAGAGGTTGGCCCCGGTGCGGAGTAAAATCCACACATCTGACCCCTTCAGACCCATCATTATACAGATATTGGACAAATACACTAAACATCTCTAAACCAATGATGGTCTGTCTGCAATGTTCTGTTGGTGTTGAGGGTTGGTATATCATGAATATCTGCAGGACAAGCGCAATCATGCACAAAAAACAAAAGGGTGAGTCAATCCCAAGATGCTTGCCCTTACTGTCCTCATATTCTTTGGCAAAAGGATGCCAAAATATGCCAAAGCTGAAGAAGAACACAACAAATAAGATCTTTTCAGTCCCAACACAAAACCAACGAACCCCAAGAACCATCCTGGCTCCATGTTTCTATGATGGACACCACCCGATCCAAGGATCAACTCCCGCAGCTCATCGAGGCCTCGAGAACGCGTGGAACGGCGGTCTCCCGAAGCTCACGGACGGGCGGGCGCAGGGGTGCAGGGTGAAGGAGGAACAGATGGGAAGATGGAAGATGATGTTCAAGCCCTATACAAATCAAATTTACATGTGGGGTGTTGTAAAAACCTGTAAAAATCGTGTCTTCTGCAATACCTCGAAACCATATTATCGTTTTTTTTCTACTAGGGTAGGAATGCATTAGTAGTGTTAAGGTGCATGCCAATACTAAACCGCTGAGCACGGGGTTATTACAACAGGCCATGTCTACAAATCTCTATAGTTTTGTTCGTCGCCCTATGAATATGATGCTATATCCAAAACGGTTCAAGCCCTACACATCGACTTCGACTGTCTAGACGTTTCAGAATTTCATCGACATCGAAGGTGAATGTACGAACAAAGAAGTTCAAACAGTCAGGTCTCTGACAGTCAGATCTTTCGTCTTTGACTCCGATAAAGAGAAGAACAGGAACCCAGTTTCTGAAGTCACTGCAATGACTTTTCGGTAGATTCATCATAGATGACTTGAATCGTACAGAACAGGATCCGCGCGAGTCCGGTGTCTTTGAGTGGACTGGTGTCGCCTGTTGAGTGGACCATTTGGATCCACGCAACCGCTTTTCGGTGAAATCCTGGAAAGTTGCTGAACTTCACTGAAACCGCTTTTCGGGGGTGGCACTGGGTTCGCTCTAGCTTTTTGGGGCGCCGACGTTGCACACCACTGAGATCGGACATATGAAAGCTTCATTATCTGCTGCGTTTCCAGGATATCTTCCGCATGAAATCATGCGATGATGGTACTATGAAACACATTCTGAACATGGTCATTAGCCGGAACCATCGTTTTTCTTTGCACGTGGTTTCGTTTTCGGATGCCTCCTACCTCATCCGGATGCCAAGGCGCCGGGTGGATTGGACGCAAACAAACACACACATCGATCCCGACGGAGGCTGAAAATGCCAGAGAACATGAGTATACCTGGACCTTCAAGGGGTGTCCAATGGAGGCCCCTTAGTGGTGTAGGGGCTTCCATTGGTGACCCCTTTGAAGGTGCTGGTAGGATCATCTGTTTTTTTTTGTCATGATGGGTCATGTTATGTCCTAGTTTCGATCTATCAATAATCCAAAAAAAGCGCTTTGGAGGCTCCAAATGGGTCACCTTCAGCGCCCAGGTCAGACCTCCGGTGCCGCGGCGCCGAGATTGAACTCCACTTGCGCGAAGGGCATCCCCAGCAGCTGGCTATTGCGCCTGGGGGGCCGAGAGGTGCTGCAGCTGCGCGTCCGTCCGGCGACTCAGCCCCTAACTCAGAGGACCACAGTCGACTGGAGGACCACTGTTGTTTTAGCTGGAGGACCACAGTCGAATAGACCTCTACCTGTCAGAGGTTTATACATCAGATGGGTTTGGAAAGGATTCCAAAGGCCTGAGAGGGAAAGGAAGTATTGGCAACGCCTCTGTTCAGTCTACTATCAAACGGTCAATCAACGGCTAATGTAGACCTTTGATTTATAAACGACCCTAGAATAATGTCACTTTTTTTCCTGCACAGATTTATAAAGGCCCCCAGAATAATGTATTTTTTTTTGGGAGGGGTAGTTGTAGTGGGATATTTTTTATTGTTATAGGTTTCTTTTTCCCTTTTGAGTTTGCTGGGATTTGCTTATCTTACAGGCTTTTGGATGGAGATTTCTATTAAACAGTTGAAGATTTCGATTGAGATTTGATGCTTTTGGAGGCTTTTGGATGGAGATTTCTATTAAACAGTTGGAGATTTCCTTTCATGCATATATCTAACTATAAAAATAAGATATAAACTGATAGTTGCCTGACATTATTT